GTTATTTTTTAGAAATAATTTTCCAATATTATTCTTGAATAATTTAACTAAATTTTTTTTTTCCAAAGAATACATTGTATTTGTAGGTTAAATACTTAATGAAATTAAGTAAGTCGTGAATGTTTTTCAACCCAAAATAAGAAGATGTGAAATGTATTTGAATAATATATTTTTCTAAACTAACCCAGTAAGATGTATATAAATATTAAACAGAACATATACATTAACTGACGTTGTATAATATGTAAAAACAAATAGAAAAGTATTGGACAGTGTAATATGATAACTATAATAATATTTGTATAACTGTATCTTATTGACTGAAATATATTTTCTGATTTCCATAATTTTATTTAAAGGAACATGATGTTTTAACGCATCTCGATGAATATAAAAAACAGGCTTTTTTATATGTATTGTCATTTTGGTATGACATTCACCAATACAAGAAATTATTTGGATAAAAATGCAATAACTAATATCTAGTTTTCAATAACGGTATTTAATATACCAATAATTTTACGACGAAACCATTATCATTTAATAATATGTATAATAGATATTTTTTTATATTTGCGTTTTTTCTTTATTATTATTATTATTACATTTGCTGAAAATCGAYAATTTTCAGTTCGGTATCAGTTGAAAACTTTTGATCGGGTCCATTGGTTAGAATAAATGTTACACAATCTGAATTTTGTTTCGGTCTGTACACAGTAGATGTTTTACGGTCTTAAAAATTAATGRCCTATATCCAAGTCGAGTAAAAGAGCTTTATATGTCTTAAGTTTTGACATAAYACGATAGTATTCCGCGCTGRGGACGTGGCTTTTACTTTTGAGTTTGTTTTATTACAGCCAGTAGCTGTCATTAAATTGTTCTCAACGTCCTCAATTAAAACTAGAAAATGGCTTAGCAATGGACATATTTTGAAATAGTAAATGAAAATTTAGAGGTCCATTAAGCGCATTAGCATTATGTAGGCCTATGAATCTAGCCCACACTCATGAAAAATGTTAATTAACCGAACCCATTTCAAAATATAGTTAGAAAATAATACAGTCTAAGTATACGTTATTATTATAACGACTTTTTTAACTTAAAATAAATAGAAAAAGTGGGTTTTATAAAAGAACCTGAAAGATTTCAAAAATAATTTTTAAATTTACAATTTTTGAAAACCAGAATAAGATTTTATTTTTGAATGTTTATATTGTATTTCCTGAACATTTTGTAAAAGTGAGTTACGACACTCATCGTTGGGGGCGTCGAAATAACCTATTGTTGGTGTTTATAAATAGTTTATTAATCTAAACATTTTGAAAATTTCATTGAGTATCTAACTATATAGAATATAATAATGTATAAGAAAACAAGTGTTAGTTGTCATAGTTTTTATGATTATAATTATAATTTTTTTTAWTGAAATTTTTTTTGTTTTTGAAGTACCGTTAGTTATAATATTATTTAAAATATCATCTTGAAAACATACTAAAAAAAAAATCAAAAACTAATAATAAGTCAGGAATTGTGAAAACCTAACAGTAGGTATATCACATATATTATACTGAACATAAGCACTTAGACTCAGAGTTATTAATAAAATTCGCYATTTGAACAAAAAATCACATTACATTTTTAATTTTAAAAAAGCCAACATTGTTTAAACATTTTATCGTTACTCTATTCATATTTTAATTACTTGCAACGAAAAAACCAAATCGATTTTTTTGAAAACTGGCGTCGCTTAAATAACCCCTTTATCCATTATTTTTGCATTGTATTTTTACAATTGTTTTGAAAAGTTAGAGAATTTTTTTACGTTTGACGCTCAAAGTCCCTACTAAATTCAATTTGCTACCAAATACCAGCCTAGAAATTGAATATTGCTGCTCATATACATATATATGATATTATACTGTTACATATTTACTGCTCCAATAGCCAATAAGTATGATAAACATAAAAATCTACATAATTGTTAATATTAAACTGTACTTAATCTAGTTAATTAATACATTCTTTCCGCTAGAAATCTAAAACTTATATTTTTTCTGGACAATCATAGTGATTATGTAAATATTGTTTAAAAATAAAAATAGTTAATGAAAGTATGAAACCATTAAAAATAATGATGATGACCATAGTTCTGTGAGATAAACTTTATCGTAACTATTATTATGATTAAGACTAACGGCAACGGTAAACGGTAACCATTATTGTTATTTCATTTATATATTTGGGAGCGTTATCTTTATTTTAATGTCTTTTTTATAATTTTGTTAAGAAATGAATTTTTTTACCAGATGTTTTATTTCAAAATATATTCAATCGGGGAGATATAATATATAAACTCTGTATAGTGTCACTTTTTCTAGTCGAAAACTATTTTGGAAGTTCAAAAAAATAAATGTTATCAAAGTTCGCCTAATCTGACGAATATTTGTTCGACGATCATTCAGAGATTGGTCTACAGTACTATTACAAAACTGTATTTTTTTTTCGTGTGAATAAACACGAAGACAAATTAATATCATACGGCATACACCGTCTGTCAACTAGCAGCTGTGTATCCCAAAGTTTAACCACCTATATATGTTTTACTCTCAATGCGTCAGTAATTAATAATTATGTTTCAAATATAACAAAAAGTATTCAAAAATACCTTCCAGATTTTATATTATAACGTTTGTGATTTAACTACACGAAGGCACGCTTTGCGCAGAATTGAATATCGGCTAAAATGGCTTTAACAAAAGGTTTACTGYACCAATGTTATAGGTAGTTTAGGTCAAGAAGTCTTCAAACTTTTTTTTCGAGGATTATCTAAAAAATGTATTATATTATAAAATATTTTATAATTCTATAAACATTCAGAACTTTTAGTTTTATTGAAATCTAATGCGCGTATCAGTAAATCAGTCTGAGTTGTTAACATTTGTTATGGCATATCACCATGATTGTATTGTAATAAGACATTTAAATGTAGCGTGTAGCATATTTTCGTCGGACCTACTTCAAAAGAATAACGATTATTGTCATCGTCATGTTGAATGAACTGCTTTAATAGTAATATTATGTAGGTACGTTATACTTCATAAAAAAACATGGATAAAAAAAATCTATGAGAAATACACTGCTGCTGGTGACTTGAATAGTTGACTTTTGAATTTTTATTATCTGCAGTAGTTATAGACGTTATAGCTARTGGACGGTAATTTGGAGACACCATGAAGGGTTAAATATAATCCACTAACCTCGTCTGCAGCTGATCTCCTTGGACGGAAGGGCTGGATGTTTAAGGTGCACTGTGAGATAAGACGATATCTTCAGATGGATCAGTGATATGGTGGTGAACGGCAACACGAATTGGGCGACTGCAAGGCCGACAGTGAAGGTTTGTTGGGCCACGCGGGACGGCCATTTCTCGACGCATGCCTCGTACAGCCGAATCGGTCCGACGTGCACTTCCTCGACATTCTGGTACAACAGCAGTGGCACCATGGCCGCGAACGACACCAGCCAGATGAGCACCAGCGTCTTGGCCACGCTACATCGGAACACCGAGCCCCGGGGGTTCCGGACGATCGTGAAATACCTACCGAACAAGACGGAAATCAAAATTATTAAAATCTCACTCCACACACATATTATAATATTTACTACAGTATACAACATAATAAAAACGGAACGAGCTATACAATATGTCACTACTGTGAGTCGGTAGCGTATAGCTTTCGATTGATCAATGTATTGGCGGTGATGGGTATATACATAAATATAGTGTACCTACGCGCATATAATAATCAATGGTATTGGCCTGGTATTGTGTAGTGTATTGTATTACATAAATGTCAATGACTGCAGAGGAGGAGCGTTGCAACACTTGACACCCTTCACCTCCTCTCCAAAAGTTACGTCACTGCCTATTATTGTGCCCTTCAGAGCTTGCAATATCAGTTATTGCATAACCTATCCTAACCTGGTCGGACGAAAACAGAAATGAAAAACCAAATATTATTACATTCACACGTGAAATGCATATAGGTACACACTAATGCCGACGAAACGACAACGAGTGACTTGTCACCTGTGGCTGCCCTCAGTGAGTTTTCATTTTACCAGCTAGTGTGGATTTCCTGACAGTTTTTTTTTTCTAACACAAAGCTAGCTGTTACCTGATCTATATAACATTTGATTCTTAGTCCGTTGAATTGATTATAAGACATTTTATTTTGTATTTATTTCAATACCTACACTGAAAAACGCGAGAAACCTATGGAACTATAATGACGAATAAAATATAATCGTCCGTGATGTATCTATCGAGTACTCGGCGACAAGTGTCGAACGATCGGTCTGCGTGAGGCCTTTTCTGTTGATTTGTCCAAAAGCAAAAAAACCGTTTTGATGCCTTTTACGTAACCAATTTATATAAAGTCTCTACATTTTGTGTTATTAAAATTCAGAGCTTTTTTCCAGCACCATTGGCTGAATAGTCCGTTCTCGACTTGGAAACGTTCTCTTGACGCGTCTAAAACAACAACGCCCGCCAGATTTTACGTTTTGGCCGTAATTGTATATGCACGGCGTTATTTTTGCTTTTGCAATACGATGAATCAGAAACATACTTTTATCTTTTTTAATTTTTTGTTTTGACGTGAACACAAAAATATAGATGGCATGGCACTTCACTTTTACGCGTTCACGTTTATATTTATATTTTTTATTATCGATCATAATTAAAAACGCCATTACACACCCCCAACAATGTGCACTGCAGTAGCGATAACTTCAATCAATACCTTTCGGGACTAATAATATTTTGATCAAAATCCTGTGCCACGTAAACGTAGACAAAAGGGAGGCTTCTTTTTTTCTCACCACATATTTTATTATTAATTCACGCACGATTCATTAATAAAATTATCAATTATTATTTTTAGTTATCTAATACTTGTTAGTATAGTACGTACTGTAATGCCGATTATAGTGCATAGATTTTTATATATTTTTATAAATATAATACTTTTATTACCATTTTTTTTTTGTGTTTTGTTTTTACAAATACCTATAAACAATTAGGAAATAGCAAGTCAGAAATTAAATTTAACATTCTGAAAATAATCAAGTATATTAAAGTAATTCGTTATGACAAATTCAAGTGAATAATTTGGTAAAACAACTCGTTCAACATTTTATACCATTTACAYATTCGTATTTATTAGTTTCTAGTTTTCAGTTTTCACTACCCACAGACTATATTACTACAGTTTTAGTATGGGCTTTAATTAGTGTAAGCATAAGACTTCTCCTATAATTGAAGCTGTCATTAACTTTAATTACAATACTCTACATTTTTATTGAATTAAAATTATGACCTAGTTGGTTTTAACTGTATTTTATTCTACAAATATAGCTAAATAATATTATAAAAACCATTATACAAATTATTATTAATACAAAACAAATGTATGRAAATAATAACCACAGTACCACACATTAGTTTTCTTTAGTAAATTCTTCTTTAATATTGTTTGAAACCACAGCAACCTCCATCATGGCTTATAAAATAACWAAAATATTTTTATATCATTTTTACATAGTTTATTATTTTGATTTGTATGTTTTAATTTTTATTTWACGTAAAATAAAATATTTATTTTTTGATACGACAATATTATATTACACCACTAAATAGTATAAATCACGTTTAAACATATATATATATATTTTTGTGAATAGTTTTAAAGAGTATTCGGAATAGATCGATAATTATAAGTTATACTATTAGAGACGATGTATATATAATATCATATATGAAACGTAGGAAAAAGTTTAAGATACCCGTACTCCCATTTTTCATGTATAAAGTATAACATGATTCACGGAATTCCATCTAATGTTACATAATATATATTTATTATTCTAGTTGCAATAATAAATATTCCATATTTTTTTACAGCGCTGTTTCTTGGTTATAAGTTCATTTCAGATACATATTTTATCATCGTTTATTAAATGTTTAAAATATATTTATAACATAAACTTTAGCTATTTCCAATTCTGCGTGTAACCAAAGTTTAAAATATACACAAACCGAAGTGCTCCTTACACGGAAGAAGACTAACCGAAATGTTTCATTAAGGTTGAAGTGAAACTTTTTTTGAGAGCATTCACCTTATCTCAGTTATTTCTAGTTTGCACTGACGCTCTTTTTCAGCACTTTTTTAGTTTGTGTGACCTTTTTTTGTTGTTATATTTTTCAACTTTTTGCATAATAAGAGTAGAGTCTATACCAAGTGAAACAATATTGTAATATTTTTCGAGATCTATATATTTTCGAAATCTACATCATACCAAAAGACAGTAAACTATATGGGTAGTATCTTTACGGCTTTTAAAGTGAATACAGCAAACTTTGATGTCTTGAACTGTCCTAAGCAAATAATTTCTCAGAATGTAAATTATTTAAAACAATGACAGACAACCCAACAATTAATTATTCGAACGGTATTTAAAAATACCTTTACATACATGATTTCGAAAAAAAAATTGTATAGCGTATGTTAAGATATAAAAAAAAAATGCATAGTAATATAATATACCTACTATTTTGTCTATAAACGTATGCGTTAGCCTAGTTAAGGTTGGTTAAGGTGCGTTATGACAGAGACACACTCTTAGGTTGGGTAGCTGTAGGAATTGGTTATGGTCAGAATATTGACGATTAACTCTAGATTAAACCATGTATAGCACACCATGTACTTAAATAAAAACAACTCCTATAAAGAATATGTTAACAAAATATTTATCATAATTTATTTTACGTGTGCCATTTTGCACATCTTAAAATAAACGCAAGTAATTGATTTTTAAGCTGTAATTTCATAATATCGCAAAATTAATTATCAGATAGAAGAACCACATCAAAGTGTAAAGCAAATAGAATATCCTGGTTGTATTCCTTTGTTACACGCACACATGCGGATATGTATCCACTACCATCTATTTATACAATACACATTACACACACACAAATACAAAATCAAATAACTTCTATAAATAGGTTCGTTATGAACAGAGTTAAATGTACATTCGCGATGCACTAATTAATAATAGCCTGTATAATAAGTAATAACATATGCAGGAGGTGATGTACAAAGTCGTTCATAACCAGCAGTGGYGCAATTTAGATTAATACACGGTATTAGATTCACATGAAATAAAACGTTTGTGAATGTAAGTGTTTACAACCCGATATCTTATTACGATTGTTATGTTTTATGTATATATTATTATATATGTATAGTATATAACGAGTGATGAGAAAATATTATTCTCGATGTCTGTGAATATAATGTTAAAAAAYAAATGAAATAAATAGATCTTAAATAAATCTAAAAATAAATAAATATTAAAATATTTTAGACACATTATTCATGATGATTTAAATATAAATTCAATGTTTATTTTAATGCTGTGATACTTTTTGTTGTACGAAAATTAGCAGTTATAATCACAATGGAATCCTAGAGTTGTACAATAGTTTAACTGTTATTCTCTAAGGATTCATTTCATGCATTTCAAAACCCGGGATTATCATATTTTAGTGATAATCTACGAAGTCGAGAGGGACTGATAAATGTAACAAACTTTAAAAAAAATTTATATGAAAGTCATCGGCATTAAATATGAATCAATTTATTATATACATGATAACTCTGAAAAAATCTCACATAATTATCTTATGTGTTCTAAAAATACCATGTATTTAATTGTTTGATTGTTTTGTTAATTTTATTTATTTTATTTATTTCAAAACTAAAATGATGAATAAATATAATGTGTTAATGCGTATACGCATGAATATAAACGACGTTGTTATGAATTTATGATATACTTTATAAGTCTATAAAATATTTTTTCGTTTCACACCCATTAGCTAGGTATGTCTAAGGTTCTAACCATATATAACGTCATGCCTTCTGCATAAAAACTTATAATAATGATTACTGACGACTCATGTTGTAAGTCCAAACATTTATTATTAAAATAAGAAGTACGTGATTCGCGTAAAAATACAGAAAGTTCATATTTCTCGTTTAACATACGTGGACARTTTTGAATGACATTTATATGTTTAAACAAATCTCTATGTATCAAATTAGAACCATAAAATAGTTATATAAGGTATAAAAATATACTTAATAGCTAAAAATAGTTAATATATTATTAAATTAAAATGTATTACGATTTAAATAATAAATACTATGGTAAATAGATATAAAGGTTAATAATTGTATATCATGAAACTACATCATAAAATGTTATTAAAAATCGTTACTTATTTAAATTCAAATTTAGTATTGAAAACATAAATGTATAGATATTTATAAATACACATCATACCTATCTGTGTATGTAATTTGTAAAATATTGCCCATCATCGTGGTGACTGATGAGTATTCAATTGGTTTAATTGAAATAAGTAATTATGCTAATTGTTGTAATCGACCAATTTTTAAAACATTACWAAGTATAATGACCATATATTTTGTAATCTTTAGGCACTGAATATTACAAAGGAATTTTGCC